CCTAGAAGACCCCATTGCCTCAGCCCAAAAACTCCTGAAACTGATAAACAACTTCAGCAAAGTCTCAGGATATAAAATCAATGTGCAAAAATCACAAGCATTCGTCTACACCAATAACAGACTTAAAGAAAGCCAAATCAAGAGTGAACTGCCATTCGCAATTGCTACAAAAAGAATAAAATACCTTGGAATACAACTCACAAGGAACGTAAGGGACCTCTTCAAGGAGAACTACAAACCACTGCTCAACGAAATCAGAGAGGACACAAACAGATGGAGAAACATTCCATGTTCATGGTTAGGAAGAATTAATATCGTGAAAATGGCTATACTGCCCAAAGTAATTTACAGAATCAACACTATCCCCATCAAGCTACCATTGACTTTCTTCACAGAACTGGAAAAAACCACCATGAACTTCATATGGAACCAAAAGAGAGCCCACATAGCCAAGTCAATTCTAAGCAAAAAGAACACGGTGGGGGCATCACACTACCGGATTTCAAACTATACTACAAGGCTACAGTAATCAAAACAGCATGGTACTGGAACCAAAACAGAGATATAGACCAATGGAACAAAACAGAGGCACCGGAGGCAACACAACATACATACAACTATACAATCTTTGATAAACCTGACAAAAACAAGCAATGGGGCAAGGATTCCATGTTTAACAAATGGTGTTGGGAAAACTGGCTAGCCATGTGCAGAAAGCAGAAACTGGACCCCTTCCTGACACCTTACACTAAAATTAACTCCAGATGGATTAAAGACTTAAACATAAGACCTGGCACCATAAAAACCCTAGAAGGAAATCTAGGCAAAACTATCCAGGACATAGGAGTAGGCAAGGACTTCATGAACAAAACACCAAAAGCATTGGCAACAAAAGCCAAAATAGAACCTAATGAAACTCCACAGCTTCTGCACAGCAAAAGAAACAGTCACTAGAGTAGATCGGCAACCAACAGAATGGGAAAAATTTTTCGCAGTCTACCCATCTGACAAAGGGCTGATATCCAGAATTTACAAAGAACTCAAACAGATTTACAGGAAAAAAACAAACAAGCCCATTCAAAAGTGGGCAAAGGATATGAACAGATACTTTACGAAAGAAGACATATATGAGGCCAACAATCATATGAAAAAATGCTCATCGTCACTGGTCATCAGAGAGATGCAAATCAAAACCACATTGAGATACCATCTCACGCCAGTTAGAATGGCGATCATTAAAAAATCTGGAGACAACAGATGCTGGAGAGGATGTGGAGAAAAAGGAACACTTTTACACTGTTGGTGGGAGTGTAAATTAGTTCAACCATTGTGGAAGACGGTGTGGCGATTCCTCAAGGAAATAGAAATTCCATTTGACCCAGCAATCCCATTAGTGGGTATATATCCAAAAGACTATAAATCATTCTACTATAAGGACACATGTACACAAATGTTCACTGCAGCACTGTTTACAATAGCAAAGACCTGGAATCAACCCAAATGCCCATTGATAATAGACTGGATTGGAAAAATGTGGCACATATACACCATGGAATATTATGCAGCAATCAGAAATGATGAGTTCGTGTCGTTTGTAGGGACATGGATGAATCTGGAGAACATCATCCTCAGCAAACTGACACAAGAACAGAAAATGAAACACCACATATTCTCACTCATAGGTGGGTGATGAAAAATGAGAACACATGGACACAGAAAGGGGAGTACTAAACACTGGGGTCTATTGGGGGGAAAAGGGGAGGGCCAGTGGGAGGGGGAGGTGGGGAGGGATAGCCTGGGGAGAAATGCCAAATGTGGGTGAAGGGGAGAAGAAAAGCAAAGCACACTGCCATGTGTGTACCTACGCAACTGTCTTGCATGCTCTGCTCATGTACCCCAAAACCTATAATCCAATAAAAAATTTAAAAAAAAAAAAAAAATTCACCGAATTTACACAAGTAGAAAATAAAATTTTAATGGAGGATCAGAAATATAAATAATGACCTACATATACAGGTCATTAAAAAGTCTAGATAATTTTTATGAAAAAGTTATAAAGTCTAGTTTTAGCCAAATTCTATATGACATTTTAAAAACAAAACAAAAAATATAGTAAAATTACTTCAACCTTTGGAAATATGTTGGTATTTATAACATCATAAGAAGTATACATTTAGGTTTTATTCCCTGTTTCCTGACATAGAATTTTAAAAACTCTCATAACTTTCTAAGTGATAGGGGTGATAGGAGAGTCTTTTTTTTTTTTGAGATGGGGTCTTGCTCTGTGTGACACTGAAGTCAGTGGTACAATATCGGCTCACTGCAATCTCTGCGTCATGGGCTCAAGCAATTCTCCTGCCTCAGCCTCCTGAGTAGCTGGGACTACAGGTGTGTGCCACCATGCCCAGCTAATTTTTGCATTTTTAGTAGAGACGGGGTTTACCATGTTAGCCAGGATGGTCTCTATCTCTTGACTTCGTAATCTGCCCACCTCAGCCTCCCAAAGTGCTGGGATTATAGGCCTGGCCTGAGTCTTGTTTTAATATTCGGTCTTTGTCCCAGATTCCTGACACACAGCTTCAAAATCCTTAGAATCTTCTGAGCAATAAATCTTTTGTTTACTAAAATGACTGGTGGTTGGGATTCCTGATAGCTTTAGTACAGGCTGGACACCAGAAAAACCAAGCAATGCTTACAGGGTTGAATCATTCAGTCTTTTCTCCATCCTCCAGAGATGACAGTAAGGCTGCAGTTGGAGTTATTTGCCAATAGCCAATGGCTTAAATCAATCATGCCTACATAACGAAACTTCCTAAGAACTCTAAACAACAGGTTCAGAGACTTTCTGGATTGGTGAACTCACGTGCCATGAAGGTGAGTTACCCCAGTTCCACAGGGACAGATCCCATTTTGCTCAGGACCTTTCCAGAACTCATTCTACTAACCTCTTCATCTGGCTATCCATCTGTAGTCTTTATAGTAAACATAAATAAAGTATGTTCCTAAATTTTGTAAATAGTTTTAACAAATTGTCAAACCTGTGGAGGAGGTTGTCAGAACCCTGATTTATAGACAGTTGGCTAGGTGTACAGGAGGTCTCGCATTTGTGGTTGGAGTTTGAAATAGGGAACAGTTTTGTGGGACTGAGACCTTAACTTGTGGTGTCTGCATTAACTCCAGGTGAGTGAGTGTCAGAATTAAACTTGAATTGTAGGGAACCCAGTTGATGTCTGTAGAGAAGGAGAATTGGTTGATATGGGGAAAAAATATCTATACATTTGGTATCAGATGTATGAGTTTAAAAAAGAATTGTAGTGTATCATATTAGCATAAAATTTATAAATCTGTAAATTTAATACTAATAATTGGTAAAGATAGTCTAAAAAGAAAAGTAAATATTTATTTGCAATGTAAATGCAAAAAATGCAAATAGGCCACTAGCACATAGAACCTAGGTAAATACCAAACGACTACATTAAGATAATGTGTAAGATACTAGAGCAGCTATATAATTCAAAGCATATAATTTATGAATGGTTACTGAAAAGGTACTTTTAAATTACAAACTCAGCATTTGTATAAAATTTACTGTATGCATTTTTTTTTGCCTTTTCTAATCATATGACTATTAGTTACTCTTAGAATCTGGCATCTGTAGACATAGAGAACTGAAGAGCTGCTGAATGAAATCTAATTTTTTAATATTAAATATGAATGTTTCACAATTTTTTAGTGTTTTATTCATTTCTTGGAATACATTACATTTCAATTAGACTTTTATTAATATCATTCCTAGAAGAAATAATCTTTCACTTGTCTGGATTTTTATGTGAATTAAGAGAGTTATTATTATACATCTCCCTATATAAGGTTCCTGTATATACATATTACATGTTCCCATACCCACACACCCATATATGCCCACATGCACATATGCATATGCTATATATAATCATATATTTTATATACATATATGTATCCCTTTTAAAAAGCATTTTAAAGTCTCTACAACACATGTGTTTTCTTAGAGTTGCCCATATCTGTCATCAGATTATGAAGTTGAAAAAGGGAAGCATTCATTTTCATATAACTAAATTTTAATAGAGAAGAAAGGATGCAACAGAATGAAACTGGATAGTGCAAGACCTTAGGAAGATATGGGGACACTGTCAGAGTTCCCACATCTAATCGTAAGTGAGGTAGCCCTACTCAACTTTAGGATTATTTTTTCCTCATTCTGTGGAACTATGGGCCCAGTTTACCAAATTGTCTGTTTTTCTAAGAGAATCAGGAAATTAAGATTAAGTTATAAAACCTTCTGATAAACATTTGCAACTAAATAATTTGATTATAAGGCTAGGCTCTCTGTTGGAGAACTGCTGTAATGAAATTTATGCAGGAATTAAATATAGTGATATATTATGGTTTCCAATGACCTAATTTAATACAGGGTTAAAGACGAGACCACAGAGAAGTATAATTGGGTAATATATATTATACTGACTTTCTCAAAACTATCTTTGCATAGTTGGGCTTTTTGTAGGAACTCAAAGATGTCAGACCTTCTGGACATGGCCTGGAGCACTGGCAAGCTATACTTCAGATTAAGGAAGGATCCATATGCTTTGCCAACCAGACTTAGATGATGAGATTAAAGTTTTATTTATAATAGATAATACATAGTGTGACCACACAGAAACCAACATGTTTAAGTGTTAGATGATTTGCTTATTTTCATTTGACTACAGAGCTCTACTTCTCTTTTTATCCATTTATCATTATCAATACTGATCTTTAGACAGTAAGAACCTCCACTCTGATCAAAGTTAAATGTATGGGAAGATTATCTTGCTATTGAGATCAAAGTTAAATGTATGGGAATATTATCTTGCTGTTGAGACATCAGTACACAATACTAATTAAAGACATTCATAAAATTCTGCAAAATTATATTCTTATATTAGGAAAGCAATTCCCATAAACATTATGACATCTCTTACCTCAAAATCAACATCTCCACCACAACAGCTGCACATAATACATGGACCACTCATTTTTAGTACATCCTCTCCTTTCTGATTTTGAATTGTAAACTTTTTTAGATATGGGTACCAGTTCTGAGTAACATAACCTATTGGTACACCAGGAGGAGCTTGGATTTCTATCTACAAAAGTAAAAGAATATGTGTGAATGTAATAAATCATCATAAACCTATCTAATAATACCTCTCATTTACTGACCATTTCATAAGTGACAGACATTGCAAGTAAGGACTTCCTAGGAATTTTTTAAAAGATCAAATAGTGTAATGTATGTTAATGTGATATTCAAATTATAAAGCATTTCCCATCAAACTCTCAGTTTTTCCTTAGATATTCTTATAAATATATACCTAACCTAAATGGCATGGAAAACAAACAAATTCATTATAAGTAACTTTATGTATCCTCTCAAAATAAGTGCAGTGTTAGACTTTAAATAACTATATGCCTTTATTTCTATCTGTATTATGTTCTCACAGCAACCTGTATGGAAGGCTAAGTTACCCAGGCATATATGGTGTTGGGCCAATGGGATCCTAGAAATAACCAACTTTTCTATAACATCTCTGAACCCTAGTGTCATCCCTGAAATTCATAATCTCTAGGAGTAGGCTGCTATGTAATATGAAACAGAGACATCTGGTCTCTACAGAGCTGAAGATACTCCCATTTAGGTTATCCCTATTGCAGATGACACAGATATTTAAGTTTTTATTTTGAAAAGGAGAAATGAAAAACATAGGAGATAAAACTTTGTCCTAGGTTTGTCCCTTAGTAGGTTGGCCAAAATTATGAGATGCACACATCTGTTCTTTCCTTCATTCTTTTTGTCCCTATGATCCCAGAATGCTATTTTAGGATATTTTCAATGGTGCAACTCTGCTGGTTTTGACCATGTCTCTTACAATCATTTCTAGAAAATGATTTGAAAAAGGTGCCTATCTGACCTTTCCTTGAATATCAAGAATTCTCATCTCTGACCATTGCTCAAGCCCACAAGGCAGATGCGGGACATAAGGCTAACCATTCCCTGTTATTTGCCTTCCTTCTTATACAATTGATTTGGAAGCCCAAACATACAGATGATGAAGCCATTTTCCTTTAAATATCATCTGATTATACAGATTCAATGAAAGGATGGACATTCTTGCTGAACTACTTTACAAAAGGCTCTAGTAATTGCTCACATACCTCCTGAAGGCAGCAGGGGCAACAACAACTGTTACATCTTAGCGGTCTTTCCAGAGTTATGACTTCTCGACACAGATTATCAGTAATCCTCAAGGTGAAAGATCTAGATGGCCCACAGCAATTTCGGCTACAGAAATGACTATCTTCTGCTGCAAAATAAATCCTCTGCCCAAAGCTGTTCTTGATTTCATACTTATTATTACTTTCAAAACGGAGTAGGACTATAAACGAAAATAAAATTAGTTGCCTTTATGTTAAAATTATTGAAACTATCTTAAGATATTATAATACCTATCTAGTTTTAGATGATGCTCCAAGTATCATAGGAATAATGAAAAGCAATGCTATTTAGAGTTGATCAGGAAAAGGTGTTTATCTGAACTTCCAAGAGAAACTGTGGGCAGGTACAACAATTTTCCAAAACATTCCCATCCAAATTCTAAAAGTTTACTCACTTGGCAATGTACAAGGTAACAAAAATATTGGATGTGCTTCTGTGCTATTCTCAAGGTGATAACAAATTGGAAATAAAAGAGGTGAAATGCTAGAAGTCAGGTAAAGTAATTGAATCCGTTAAAGTTATTCATAGAAGGAGAAGGGAGCAAAAGTAAATCTTGGCTATATTCCTTCTATGTTGAAGTTTATAACATTAGGGAAGATGCTTATCATAATAGTGCAGTCATCCCACCGTATCCATGGGAGATTGGTTCTAGGACCTCATATGAATACCAAAATCCTAGTCTGCCCAAGTCCCTGATATAAAATGGTGTGGGGTTTGCGTATAACTTATGAACCTCCTCCTGTATTATTCAAATCATCTCTAGATTACTTATAATACACAAAGACAAGATAAATGCTATGTAAAGGGTTGTTATATTGAACTTTTTAGAAAATAGTGACAAGGAAAAAGAAGTCTGTACATCCTCAGTACAGGTACACTTTCTAAAACTATAGTTTTGATCCTTGAGTGACTGAATTCACACAGGTGGAACCCATGGATAGGAAGGGCCAATTGTACTTTACCATTTGACTTTTAATATTCAGAAATAGACTACTGATTTCATTACTGTGAAGACAGACATTCGTAAATAATCAGGTTTGCCATTCCATATCATTCAGAATGCTATATTTATAGTTTTTGATGTATCTTTATTTGCATAAACTTCTTCTCTTTTTAGAAACATGAGAAATACAATTAATACATACCTTCCACAGGTTCAATTTGCTGATGAATCAGTATCGTATCTATCTATTATAGCAAAAAGAACATTAAGTTTATGTCAAATGTTTTATAGAAAACCAATTAATATTCATATTTCATTGTTTAATACTGCATATGATCAGTTATCAACTATCATTATCAAATTTTAGTAAGAATTTGTTACTTTTATTGTAAAACTAAAGTCAACATATTTTTAATTAAAAATGCTATATGTTTATTGAAAGGATTCACTATGAATGTTGTAAATTTAGGTAAAATAAACCAATATAGTGAAATCCTTATAAAAGTTAGAAAATAATGTTCTTTCTAAATGAGGCTTAAAAATATAAAGACATCATTTTATCAATTTAAATACTTTTTTTGGTAAGTTTCAGTTATTCATTTTATGTCTACTTCAAATAATCATTTTGCAGTAAGTAATAATTTCTTCTATATATATTTTTGAGACTGATTTTAAAAAACTCTGTAGGGCATTTCTTGGAGAAATATGAACTACTAAACATTCTTATAATATTCACTGTGCAAGTACATTGTGGGAAATTAAGTTATTATAGAGAGTACAGGAGAGATATTTCATTTACAGAAAACTCATTATCATAGAAATATTTGTTTATAGATTAGAGATATAAAACTTTACATTTCTATTTTACCAACCTGATCTCTAAGACAAAACATATTATTAAACCTCACTTTGCTGAGGTAAGCTATTATGTAATACAGCAAAACTCAGGACTTTTTTTTTTTTCCTCATTGGTGTCATTTGTAAAATTGGGTCTTCCAAAGAAAAAAAGAATCAAAAAATGTAATTTTACTAATTGTAAGAAAAAGATAAGTCAAATTCCACACAAAAATATGAAGTCATTTTTGGTACTGCTTACTAAAACTTAACTCTAAACTTTACTATGTCTCTTCTAAATGTCAAGAAAATTAGTCAGTATTGGAATTAAAAAGCACAGAATCCAGAATCAAGGTACCAGCCCCAGTTCATTAGGTTTTTAATCCACATAAGTTATATAACTGCTCTGGACCTCTGTTTCCTCTTATGTAAGTTGGTGGTAATTATAATGCTTGTACATCACAGAGATTCTATAAGGATTAAGTGAGGTAATACACATATTATGCTTAGAATAAAACCTAGATAAATGTTTACTTTGGATTATTATCACATTATATCCAAGATCATAGAAAACAATTACCTGTGACATTCATATTTTTATTTTAAAATGAACCGAACCCGAAAGAACTAGTGATTTGTTGACAGAATGCAGAATGTGTTGTTTACCATTTCTGACTTTAACTGATAAACAGAAAATAAATAAGTAATTACTTAAATTATAATTTCTATGGTTAGTAAACTGGAAACAGAGTTGGTTTTTTTTTTTCTGAGTATTTTAAATATTTGAAATTACCTGACTTAAGTATTCCAATCCGGGTGGACTGTTTAATAGTGGTGGTGGTGCTGGCATCCATGGTACCCCTGCAGGTCTACCTGGCTGATTTTGAACAGGAATGCCAGCTGCGCGAGCTGGTGAGACTAGGTAGCCATGCTGACGTCCTGGGTAGAAGGCCTGGGAGCCCATGTGGCCAGCTTGTTTCCCAGTGTGTCCAGCCTGGTGCTTAGGGTAGGCAATATGTCCGGGAGGTCCTGAAATAGGAGCAAGTAAAATAATTTGTAGCTGCACAGAAAAGTCTTCATCCCTTTTCAGAATAACTCCAGCTATCTACCAACTGACCTCTCAGCTCAGAAGTCCTATATCTGTGAAGCTTGAGCTATATTTTTATCTTCAGATATGTTTCAATAAAATATCTGTGGTTTCACATTCACTTTTATTTGAGGGTGGTTAACTGTGAATAGAGTCGGCCTACAGCTTTACCCTTACGATTTAAAACTCAAGCAGAAAATATGGTTTTATGCCTGATAAAATGAAAGTAAATCCACCATGATCTAAAGTGACCTATATGAAGATTGTGGTATGCCTTCTTAGAAAAGAGAGATGAAATTGGAAAATAATAATAATAATAATAATGGCTTTATGTCAGCATTCCCAGAGCCAAAGCACCCTGTGAAAAATTATACTTGTGGAATTATAAAAAATGACACATCCTATTTGTATAGAAGTCAGTGGGGAGATGGGGATTGACCCCTCAAGGGATATTTGTCCAGATCTGACACATTTTTAGTTGTTGCAACTGGAAAAGAGAGTGATATTGCCATTTGGTTGGTGTAAGCCAGGGATGCTGTTAAACATCCTAAAATGCTCAGAAAATCCTCCCAAAACAAATAATTATCCACTCTAAAATACTACAGTGTTGAGAAATCCTAGCATAGAGGTAAAAGCATGCCATTCCTCCCAGTACCTTTCAGATGCTTGTCTGGGCCAACGGGTTACCAGGAGTTTTAATCTACAGCATGTTCTTCCCCTGTTTCCCTTGATATTCTTCTTAAAACATCAATTAAGATATTGATGTTACAAAATTAAATTTCACAATTTATCACTCTTAGATCTTTAGAATATATAATTTGTGAAAATTAAACAAAAGTAAAAAAACATGTTGAGAAAGCGAAAGATTTAACAGATGAAAAATTCTAAAATATGTATTTAGCAGAATAGAGGAAGAAATTTAATAAGTATAACCTTTATATTACATGTAAATGTACATTTCAATGAAGCTTCATAAGCTTATTTGTATAGTCCACAGTGTGGTGATTCCATAGGAATGAAATATGATTTCAAGGGACTATGATCCTTAATATTTTAAATAAATAATGCTACATAAAATTTAATACTCAGGATAGGCAATACATTTAAGTGAAACACTGGTGACAAGCTCATATACTATTAAAAATAAGACTTAGCAAACAGATTTAACGTAGTACTAATGCACTATAAATAGAGTTTTTATAATTTATTCCTCCTACAATTAATAAATATTTATAGATGATGCATGATGTGATTGGCTCTGTTGTGGAATCAGGGGATACAGCTATCAAAAAGTTAATATGCTGCCAATGAGCTTATAGTCAACTTCTGGAAGAAATAATTTTTTATAAAAGATTTCATATTGGTATGATGGGGAAAACACATGGAAGAAAGGGCAGAAGATAAGGAAGTTACTTTAGATGGGTATAATTTATGTTGAAATCAAAAAGGTAAGAAGTGGAGAACTTTATGTGAAGATCTATAGAGAAACACTACAGGAAGAAGGAAAAGCAAATGTAAAAACCTGTTTGGAAGGAATTTAGCAAGTTCTGAGACAGAGGAGTCATAAGAGAGGAAGAGTATGCATGGCTGTCACCAGAGAAAGAGGAAGAAGTTCATCTAGGGAGACCCTTGGTGAGGAGTTTGGATTTTATCTCAAGTGTCATTGATTACTGGAGGAATTTAAGCAGAAGAGTGAGTTCCATGATCTCATAAATATCTTGCAAAGTTTTCAGGAGTGCCCAGTACTGGGATTCACAAGGGAAAACACAGCTACAAATAATATCCTTCCATAAGCTAAAAATAATATGACAAAAAACAAGTCAACAACAGATTTAGTATTATAGGGAGGAAATTAAATACTTAGTAAATTACTTATTTTATTGTTTATGGATTGAAATAGTTCTGAAAAAGAAGACTTGATATTAATATGTTGTCTATACATTTGTAGGTCCAATACAACCATTGGAACAAGATATTCTAAAACAATACAGTCACATTCATGTGATATTCCTCCTTATTCATCTCGTAGAGCCTTATCTGGCCATTTAAATCCTTTGGGCTTGATCTCATTCCCCTTGCTTTTTTCACAGTAGGAATTTACTATTATTTCCTATGGAGCTAGGGCCTCATTATATTGCCCAGGCTGATCTCAAACTCCTGGACTGAAGTGATCCTCCTGTCTTGCCCTCCCAAAGTCTTGGGATTACAGGCATAAGCCCCTGCTGGCTTTGGTAGGAATTTAGAAATTATTGGTCAGCGCACAATGGTGAATACTTCCTAAAGGCCTTTAGGAAGAGGGTCTAATCAGGAAGAAAATAATGAAGAAATGCTTCAGGCTAAGACCCCAAAGGGTAATTGAGCTAAAAACATCAGCCTTCACAAGCTGCACAACCTAAATGATGTGTGTGGTTTGATTCCCATCCTCTGGGCCTGGGCTCCAGGAATGGTCCAGCCAAAGAGCAAGAAAGGTTAATAATCAGATCACACTACTGCAATTATCTCAGAAAATTTCAGGTCCTGTGGACTTGTTATGCCAATCCTGACTAGCAAATTTTAGAAGTTCCAACACTACTCTGTTTATTCAGAGATTTTTTTTTTTTTAATCAGAGAAGCCACTCTCAGGAATACAGCCATAGCACCTTGACTACCAAGTGAAACTTTGTACTTGGTATTTCTACAGATACATAAATGGGAGCAAATATTATACTTAGTAATTCTGCCTTCTGGTGCCTTGGCCCCATGCTAGTCTTTCCCACTACTATCCAGTCATTACTTTCTCTATCTACTATAGATCCCGGTGCCTTTCATGACTATTTATTATAATGAACACATCAGGCAAAAATTTCATTACCCAACATTTTTATCTTGGACCCATGCATACTAATACAAACTTCCGTTCCACTTCCCAGGCCTGCTACAGTGTTGGAGCGGGCCTACCATGAATTCCTAATTGGTAAATAATTCAACTGATCCTTCCATATCCTCAACAAAAATTTAGAGTTCTCAAGAAGAAATCTCTTCCTTCCTTGCCATTTCAAAATAATTTTTTTTGACTACCAACTTTAAGCCCACATTTTAATAATCTAGTAAAACTCTTGAGAGGTAACTCCAATGCACCTCTTAGTTACCTCTACTCAAGAAGTTCAGCAAAGGCTGAGTAATTCAGGTGGGTTTATTGGGCTCTGAAAAAAATCAAAAGATGTATATGTGTTACTGATTTAACTTCCTGGATTTTCTTAGAACAATCGGAATCCAGTTTTCATTCACTGGTCAGAAATCAATGCTGTGGACCTATTAGGTCAGAAGTGTAGAAATATTAAAACTTACATTTTTCTGCTATTAATCTATAAGGTGAATAAGCTAGTAAACATGTATAACCAGGGTAGACTAAAAGTTTTCAAGGCTACATTTGTGGGTTAGGTTCCATCATATGAAAAACTATAAAAAGGAGACTGAATATATACATACAAAAAGCCTTGATTATTTTTTCAATCTGACAGCAAAAGGAGCTTGGCAATTGACCCAAGATAGCAGAATTCACTGGTCCTACCATGATATCCACCATTCTGAGACAGCTGGCTTGAAAGAATGGTGGGATGGCCTTTTGAAGACTCAGTTATAATGCCACCCAGCTGGCAAAACTGTGCGGGTCTGGGGCAAGGTTCTTCAAGGATGCACCTTGGATGCTCTGAATTGGTACCCAAAATATGGTACTGTTTCTCCCACAGACAGGATTCATGGGCCCAGGAGTGAAACGATAGAAAAGCAAGTGACATCACTCCATACTACCTGTAGAGACATCTAGCAACATTTTGTCTTCCTATGTCAATTTTGCTCTATTGGCCTAGAGTTCCTAATTCCAGAGAGAAAAATGCTTCTGACTAGGAACACAACAATGGCTTCATGGAATTGGAAATTAATACTGTCACCTGGCTACTCTGCACTCCTCATGCCTTTGAATCAACAAAGAAGGGAATTACCATGTTGACTGGGGTAACTGATTCTGTCTACCACGGAAAAAGTGAACTAGTACTCCACACTGGAGATAAGTAAGAGCATGTTTGGAATTCAGGAAATCCAGTAGGGTATCTCTCAGTATTACCGTGCCCTGCGATTAGAGTCAATGAATAACTACAACAATCCAGTGCAGGCAGGTCTAAGAATGGCTCAGTCCCTTAGAAATGAGTGTCTGGGTCCTCCACCAGGTAAAGAACTAACACCACCTGAGGAGCTTGCTGAAAGAAAAGGGAATTCAGAGTGAGTAGTAAAAGAAGGTAGTTATAAATGCCAGTTACAACCACATGACTAGTTATAGATAAGGAGTATAGTTATCATGATCATTTCCTCCTTATTTTGCTATGTATGTGTTTTAGTTTACTTTTGTCTCTTAATCCCTTATCATTAACATAAGATGTATGCTTTTATATCATAGTATTCAAATATTTTTAATTTTACAACATTGTATTTAAGTTACAGGAATCAAGAAGAGTTAAAATTACTCAAGGTCTTTTACCTTCACTTATGGGGAAAGAGTCAGTGAATTTTCAGTTGATACAACTCAAGATCATTGGATCATGTTAGTTGATATTATAACCTTGTTTTATCTTTATTTTAATATTAAGTATAGTTTAAGAACATGCATAATATTGGTGTCAAGTTGATAAGGGGTGAACTTGTGATGGTTAATTTCATGTGTCAACTGGATTAACCACAGGATGCTCAGATTAAACTTTATTTCTAGGTGAGTCTAAACAGTGTTTCTGAGTGAGATTAGCACTTGAATCCATTGAATGAGTAGGCAGATTGCCCTAATCAGTGTGGGGTCAGCTACACCTGCTCCACTGAGGATCTGAGTAGTACAAAAGGTAAAGCAAAGAGGAATTCACCTCTTCCCACCACATTGCTTGGGCTGGAACATTGATCTGCTCTAAATGCTCCCGGTTCTCAGGCCTTTCAACCCAGACTGGAATCTACACCTTTGGCTCCCTGGTTTTCAGGCTTTTGGACTCAGATTGAATTATACCACTCACTTTCCTGGGCCTCCAGTTTACAGACTTCTTACGTGGTAGGACTTCTCAGCACACAAAATTTCATAAGTCAATTTCTTATAATACATCTCTTCATATATACATGTCTCCATCCTACTGTTCTGTTTCTTTAGAGAATTCTGACTAATATGATGAGCCTATTCCAAGAAATAACATAACTCAGTTTAGGAAATGATTGAGCTGTGTCCTGATTAAATTAGCTAATTAATTCAACATTATGACTTTAAGTCACTGCTTCCACCAGTCTTACTAAAATGCAAATTCTAGAAATAATTTCAGAGAAAGAGGAAATCATATTTTATGCTGTACTTAAAACAAAAGTTTGTAATAAAGTCATATTATATAATGTACCATTGGAATTATAATTACTCCAAAACAAACACAGAACTTCAAGTTACAATCTGATTGCTACACACTTCTTTCTAACTGTCTGTTACGTGATAAATTTGGAGTAAGTTGAGGAGGGTGGTAAGACAGAGAGAAGCTCACTGGTAGAAGTCCTGAGCTTCAGGAAACTGGCTTCATCCAGGAAATGAAAAAAATATTTGTGAAATTACTGAGCAAAGGATAGAGACCCTCAGAGATGAGGATGGAAAAGTACACGAGGGCCAGTTCACAAATGTTTTAAGTCTCTCCACCTGTACTTTAATCCCTCAAAGGCTAGAGCTTTCTTTGTCTTGTCCAAGACAAGCCACTTAATTTGTGCTTATTGATTCAACAGTGAGTGTACAGTATTGTTTAGTTCTTTTCAGTCAGTAATAATAGTTCCCTTACAGATCTGAAGGCTGCTTGATGTACAGTAAGAATCAGGTATTTTACACTTGTCTATCCAATTGCAGCAATCCACTCATTTTCCTTTGTGTTTTTCATTTCCTTGTGCTTGTTCATTGCTCAAAACCCTTATATTATAAACACAGGGTGGCATTAAGAGAAAGGTTTGCTCTTAGGAAAAGTTCAAGAAAGAAAGGAGCCCTCAAACCGCCTGACACTTCTAAGTGTCACTTACACTAACCATGTATCTCAATGTGATAAGCAGGAAGAAACAACCATTGCCTTTTCCTGGAACTGGGAAGGGGCCATGCCAAGACTTCCAGGAATAACAGTGCGTGAATGAAACCACATGGGAACCAGAGAGGCAGCTTGGAGAAGCAGGGACTTTGTCAAATATTTAAAATAATAAAAGCTAACTGTCACTGAGTACTTTCTGTAGTACCTGCCAGGCACTGCTCTAAGAACTTTACGTTAACACATGCAATGCTCTGTAGCTCTTTCAACAGTTCACAGTTTCAGAGACGAGACAATGGAAAGAACATAAATAAGAAAATGGCTGTCAGTTCACAGATGTGAAGTAGTAGAGGCCGAATTTAAAGTCAGGCAGCCTGATTGGAGCCAATGGTCTTAGCAACTGCGCTATATATACCGCCGCCATCTTTTCCAAGCTGGTATTGTAGAGGGCCTAGCATAGGTGTGGGCTCCAGGCGGACTTCAGTGAATACTTACTCATAAATCACAGCTTGCAGACTGTATTAACCGTCCCTTCTAATAGCCCCACTATGCTGGCATATGCTCCCCACTAAGCTGAGCCCTGCGAGCCGTCTTCAGGCAGGACACCCTGTTAACTGGAGTGGTTCTGAAGTGAGCCACGGTGCCGCTGGGCAGCCTGGGTCCCCTTGCCGAGTTCCGGTTCCACTTCTGGTATCGCTTCCCGAGGCCCTTCCGGCCCTTGCCCCGCCCTCTGACGCAAACACAATGATGGGCGGGGCATCGTTCCCGCAAGCGGCTTGTGCCCCAGTCACAGAGGGAGGCAACTGAGAAAGCTGCCCCACCACCCATGGCTGCAGCTGTTCTCTCACAGCCCTAAGCGAGCCGAGTCCTAGCGTGGCTTCCTCCCCTCCGCCCCCCGACTGCCAGGCTCAGCTGTTGCCCAAACCTCCCTGAAGTCAGCGGCAAAGTGGCCTGGAGCAGCCTCAAAGCGTACACCTGCAGCAGCCCCTCATTTAGGTTTTTGGACCCCAAGGTACAATAAGGCTTCCCTCCCCTGGGTCCTGCGCGGGCGCTCGGGGTCCGGCTTTTGCTGCTGGAGGGCGGCGGACCTGGGGGCAGGACTGCACCCACCACCCAGACTGCGACTCGGAGCTGCCCCTCAGCCCGTCCCTTGTCCCCCTTCCCATCCCCATGTTTGTCTGGTAGTTAAGGGCAGAGATGAACTGGGACCTATACACCAGCTGGAACTGGAAAATCATGAGCCGGGAAGTGGCCTTCCCCGAGAAATTTCTTTACTCTGGTCTTGACCTTCATCCCTCAGAAGCCTGTGGCTGTTCAAGGTTAGGGAGCTTGGACCATAAATGAGCAGCGGTCAAGATTATTTTCTCTCTAGCCCTGGCCCTCTTCCCTTTTCATTCCATCGAAAGACATTTTTAACTTGTTTTGAGAGTGAAAGTGATGAAGTATAATTTCTCAGGACGCGCCTTTGATTTTTCTGGGTGTGCCTGCAACTGGCACACCCTCATGCAATAAATACGTGTTGCAGTGACATTTTTTTACTGATTTTTAAAACTTTTATTTACACGCCTGTAAGTCTAGCACTTTGGGCGGCCGTGGGGGCAGGGGGCGGCGGGCGGCGGGGGTGGATCACCTGAGGTCAGGAGTTCGAGACCAGCTGGACAGCGTGGTGAAACCCCGTCTCTACTAAAAATACAAAAATTAGCCGGGTGTGGTGGTGTGCCCCCGTAATCCCAGCTACTGGGGAGGCTGAGGCAGGAGAAAAATCATTTGAACCCGGGAGGCAGAGGTTGCAGTGAGTCAAGATCCTGCCACTGCACACCAGACTAGGGACACAGAGCAAGACTCCGTCTCAAAAAAAAAAAAAAATTACAGCATAACACATGATCTTCCAAAAAAAATTTATAATGTGACACATGATCTTCCAAACAATAACGCCATGTATGGAGAAAAATGAAACCTCACTCTCTCCCTTCCCTTTACTTTTCTCCCAATTACCCTGCTAACCAAGGTTGACACAGGCATTTGAAGACATGCTAAGAGAGGTGAGGGAGAAGAAAAAAGGGAATGGAAGGGAGGAAGGTGGAGAGAGAAATTGAGAAAATAGGGTAGAAAAAGGAGGAAGGAAAATCAAGCCACCTACGTTTGAAATCTTTCTCTTTTATTTCCTGTCCCTGTGACTTGTGAAAGTTACTTGACAACATCTGTGCCTGTTTTGTAATTGGTAAAATGAGAGTAGAAGTCACATCTACCATATAGGATTTTTATAATGATTAAGGAAGTTAAATATATATAAAGTTTAGAATGATGCCTACCATAGAGTAAGCACTTAGTGTTATATACATACAAATGTGTATATACACAGCTACGCAGTGCTTTGTTTGTGGTTTTTCTTTTTTTTTTTTTTACATAGATAGGATTATTTTACACAACTCTTCTTTGATATGTTTTTCACCCAACAATGCATCTTGGAAATCTCTGTTCCTCTAATACAAAACTGTATCATTGACCTAATAATCTAGGTACTGGTTTCATCAATTATAAATTATGCTGTAGTTATCATCTTTGCAATTTGCACACATTTTTCTGTATACACTACAAAAAAAAATCCCAATAAGTCATGGGATTGCTAATTTTTCCATACCTCTTCAATTCTAGAATACCAATTCTAAATGTTTCCTACTGTGAATGGCAAGTATTTTATTTTTTTTGTTTGTTAATTCTGTTAATGAGACTGAGGACTTTTTCATATGATTACTAATTATTTTACAGTTTTGTTCTGTTATTGGTCTGAAATATAATGTCCATTTTTTGTTGTTGTTGTTGGATTGGGATTTTTTTCTCCCTTATTGATTTGTTAGAGCTCTTTATATATTATGGGTATATTAAATAAGATACAATTCTTTTTTTCTTGTTTTTGAGATGGAGTCTCTGTCACCAAGGCTGGAGTGCAGTGTCATGATCTCTGCTCACTGCAGAATGCACTCCCCGAGTTCAAGCAATTCTTCTGCCTCAGCCTCCCGAGTAGCTGGGATTACAGGCATGAACCTCCATGCCCAGCTAATTTATGTATTTTTAGTAGAGACAGGGTTTCCCTATGTTGGCCAGGCTGGTCTCAAACTCCTGATCTCAGGTAATCCACTGGCCTCAGCCTCAGAATGTGCTGTGATTACAGGTGTGAGCCACTGCACTCGGGCAAAATACACTTCTTTTCCTACTGAGTCTCTGGCTTGAAGCTTATTAGATGTTGCTTTCACCATACAAAAAATTTCATTTTTAATGATTTTTACTTTTTATGTTTTTTCATTTTGACTTCTGGCTTTGAATCTTATTTTAAACTACCTGTTGTACCCCAGGACATCTATTATTTCTTTCTTAACACATGTTCATTTCCTTATTGCCAAGCAGTTGGGAATTTCTAGTTGTCTTTTTATTAATTGTAATTACATTGTAGTGCAAACACATGCTGTGTATGGCTTCAGTCATTTGAAATTTTTTAACACTTGCATTATGACCTTCTGGTACACAGCCATTTTTTGTTAAATATTTTACATGAGAAATATGTGTATTCTGCAGTTGTGTACAAGTGATGTATTTGGCTGGGTCTGTTTATTAATTTGCTGTTACTTTAATATTTGGTTTGATTGATCTATTATTCAGAGATATTAAAATTGAGAACATCTTTATTTACATTTTGACTTCTTTTCATGTAGTTCATGAGGGCAACTAAAAAAAAAATACCATAACCTGGGTAGCTTATAAACAACCGAAAATTATTTCTCATAGTCCTGGAGGCTGGTAAATCCAAGACCAAGATGCCAGGAGGTTCAGTGTCTGCAGAGGGTCTACATTATGACACATACATGGCATCTTCTCACCATGTCCTCACAAAGTGGAAGGAGCTAGGAGTCTCTCTGTTTTGTTTTGTTTTTGGTACTAATCCCATTTACGAGAGCACCATTCTCATGACCTAATCTCACAACGGCCCTACTTCCTAAAATATCACATTGGTGATTAGGCTTCAACATATACATTTTGAGGGGACACAAACATTTGGACAATAGTAACATCTGTCTTAGCTTCTGCTGCAACAGCAAAATAGCTTAGTCTGGGTGACTTAAACAACAGACATTTCTTTCTCACAGTTCTAGAGTTTGTGAAGTCCAAGGACAGGGAGTTAGTAAAATCATCATCTGTTGAGGGCTCTCCTATTGGCTTACACAGTCTTGCTGTGTCCTCCCTGGCAGGGGGAGAAAGAGCTCTGATTCTTCTTCCTCTCCTTGTAAGAACACTAATTCCATCATAGAATTTTAACCTTTCCTTTATTTGGTATCACCAATCCCTCTTTCTCCCTGGGGTACTGTAGAAATAAATTGAATCTCCTTATTATATCTATCTGTACACCTTTTGTCACTTCCTGTGTTTCGCAAAATGGTTTGTGATATCTACCTTTTTCCATATTCTCAAAGTTGTTGAAATCTTACGCCCTGAAATACAATCTTATATTTTTATCATTGTTGGCTTATTAAAGCTCTGTATTTAATTATCTTAACTTTCATCATATTATAGTCCTGAAGAAAAACAGTATATTTTTTTTTGTGATGGAGTCTCGCTCTGTCACCCAGACTGGAGTGCAATGGCGCAATCTCAGCTCACTGCAACCTCTGCCTCCCAAGATCAAGCAACTCTCCTACCTCAACCTCCTGTAGTTGGGATAACAGGCACCTGCCACCACACCTGGCTAATTTTTGTATTTAGTAGAGATTAGGTTTCACTATGTTGGTCAGGCTAGTCTGGAACTCCTGACCTCAGGTGATCCACATACCTTGGCCTCCCAAAGTGCTAGGATTACAGTGTAAACCTCTGCACCCAGACAAAAAGTACTATCTTAAATTAGAAAACATCTAGGAATAACATAAACAACTGTTGGTTGCCTAACCAAAGCTCAGTATCTGCTCTTGCATGGTAAAATAGTGGTTCTCAAATTTTAGTATGTCTCAGGTTCACCTGGAAATCTTGTTTAAATTCAATATGTGTTCCCCGTATCTAGACTTTCCAATTCAATATATTTAGAATGGGGCCTGAGAATGCTTTTTTAGTAAATTCCCATGTGATTCTGATGATGGTTTTCTAAGGACTTTAAGAACTATTGCTAAATGTTCTATTTTGTTAAGTTCTTGAAGAACAATTTGTTCATAAAAGGAATATCCTAACCCAAAGGACAAATATTGGTTAGTTGTCAATCATAATGAATCCAGCCTCCTTTCTCTATTATAGGTATGCATTTGGTTTTAATACTTAGATTTGTCTAAAGGAAATTCATATTGAGAACCTCTAGGAAAGAGTTTCCTGGTTAATTTTGTATATGTATGTGAATGTATTAATATGTATGTGTGATATGTATAAGTACATGTACACACACAGCGGATATATATACTTATGGGAAGACTGATCTGTGGCAATAGACTCTATGAGGATATTTATTTTTGTGCTTTCCACAATTTCATACTCAAAACATGCTATCTTTATTTTGTTATTGTTGTCCTCTTCTGCTAGTAGGGTTTTATTTCTTTTCAGTAGCTCCAAGACTTCCATTGCACCAAGGGGGAACTGGTATAATAGAGCTTTATGGGAAACTGCACCAGAGGATGATTTCACTTTCCATCACTGGTTTTAACATCTGGGTTGAAATTCTGGGTTGTAAATTCTTTTGTTAAGAATGTTGAATATTGGTCCCCATTCTCTTCTGGCTTGTAGGGTTTCTGTTGAGAGGTCTGTTATCATCTGATGGGCTTCCCATTGTAGGAGACCAGGCCTTTCTCTCTGGCTTAACAGCTCTTAACAATTTTTCCTTCATTTCAACCTTGGAGAATCTGATGATTATGTGTCATAGGGTTGAACTCATGGAGTATCTTAATGGTGTTCTCTGCATTTCTTGAATTTGCATGTTGGCCTGTCTTGGTAGGTTGGGGAAGTTCTCCTGGATGATATCCTGAAGGGTGTTTTCCAACTTGTTTCCATTCTCGCTGTTTTCTTCTGGTACTCTAATCAATCATAGATTCAGTCTTTTTTTAAAGTCCCATATTTCTTGGTGGCTTTGTTCATTCCTTTTCACTCATTGTTTTCTCTATTCTTTTCTTCATGTTTTATTTCAGTAAGGTGGTTTCAAACTCTTATATCCTTTCCTCTGCTTGGTTGATTTGGCTATTGATACTTGTTCTCATGCTGTGTTTTTCAGCTCCATCAGGTCGTTTATGTTCCTCTCTAAACTTGTTATTCTAGTTAGCAATTCCTCTAACCTTTTATCAAGGTTCTTAGCTTCTTTGTATTGAGTTAGAACATGCTCCTTTAGCTCAGTGTAGTTTTTTATCACCTATATTTTGAAGCCTACTTCTGTCAACTCATCCATCTGATCCTCCATCCAGTTCTGTGCCCTTGACAGAGAGACGTTGCAATGGTTTGGAAGAGAAGAGGCACTCTGGCCTTTTGGGTTTTCCACATTTTTTCAATAATTCTTTCTCATCTTCATGAGTTCGTCTAGTTTCAGTCTTTGAGGCTGCTGATCCTTAGATGGGGTTTTTGTGAGGGACTTTTTTTGTTGATGATGCTGTTGTCGTTGCTTTCTGCTTGCTTGCTTTTCTTTCATCACTCAGGTCCCTCTTCTGTAGGGCTGCTGCAGTTTGCTGGGGGTTCACTTCAGGCCCTGTTCATCTTACATTCCTACTTCTTTACATGCTTCATAATTTGTTGAAAACCATATATTTAGCATAATACAATATGACAACTCTGAAAACTGTATTTGCCCCTTCCTCAGGGTTTATTATTGGTGGTATTTTTTCTATTGTGAATTTGTTTGGTTCCTTTCCTCAACTAATTATATGAATCTGTATTCTTTGTTATGTGTGACCACTGACATCTATTCAGTTAGCACAGTAGTCATTCAATAAATGGCTACAGTTTTCCTTAAATATGCTGCATAAGTATATCTCCCAGCCTTTTCCAAAAGGTTCTCTGTGTGTTTGAGGGTACTATTTCAAAGATCCAATAGATGAGTTACAATACTGGCTTAGCTTTCTCTCATTGCTTGCACAAGACCTTAAGGTCAGCCAGAGGAGAGAGATTATTTCTTTTTCAGGTCTTTTATGGGTATGTGCACAGTTCTGTACATGTACATTTCCCTCTAAAGTTTCAGGAGTGTGTCAGAACTTTTAAAGCTCCTATTAATATCCTATTCCCCAGATTTTGTTTTTAAGAGATTTTGGTCACTTCTTGTATCCCCTAGCTATTATTAAGACCTCACTCGGGAGGACTCAAGATGGCACTGTGAGAACAACCCAGGATTGGAGCTCTTCTCGTTGAATCTGCAAACGGTGAGTCAGAGCGGATTTCAGGACTGATCTTTGTTGACCACAGAACGGGGAAACTCCCAAGTATAAAAAAGACACGGGACGCCAGGCAGTAGGTCTGCCTGGCGAAGCCGGCAGCCGGGGCGGCGGCGGCCGGCCCTACCCAGCAATCCCCGCAGGGCACGCTTGTCCGGGTGCCCTGTTGAACCGGCAACCTGAGACTTGAGAGGGCTGGACTTGAGACTGAACGAGACTTGGACAATAGGCCAGCCCAGGGGATTGCAGGGATTGGGATACCCAGTAGCATCCCTCGCTGTGCCACAGCTACTAGAGGTGCACCCCAGACAAGCAGGGTCTGGAGCGGACCTCAGCAGTCGTACAGCGAAGGGGCTAGACTGGTAGAAGGAAAACCAAGCAACAGAAATACTTCATCATCAACATTCTGGGTGTCCACTCAGAGACCCAAACGAAAAGTCAGCAACTACGCAGACGACCAGCGGACAAATCCACAAAGATGGGAATAGTTTGATAGCGATTTCAAACTATCCCGAGCAGACGGTCCGAGACGCTCTGTGGGGGAGGGGCGTCCACCACTACCGAGGCAACCCGCCCCAACTGAGATACACGCCCATTGCTGACGCAGCCAGCCGTTGCCGAGGCAACCCGCCCCAACTGAGATACACGCCCACTGCTGACGCAGCCTGCCGTTGCTGAGGCAACACGCTACAACGAAGAGACTCCGCCGCAGGGCATGGCGGAGACCACAGCAGAGCCGGCAGGAACAGCGCGAATCACACAACAGCAGGGCGGAGCCTCGGCAGCCAAACAGTGGCTAGTCAGCCTTCTAGCTGGGCAGGACACCTGATCGGACATCCAAAAATAAAGCCCAAACCCCTCAACACAGAGCATTTGAGAAAAAAAAAAAAAGGGTTTTTTAATGAGCTCTGTTGCAGCAGAATCAAACATAGCAGCATAACAGCCCTGAATGAACAACAGAGTGCACAGCTCAGCAATTAAACCCCTATAAAGTACAAACTGTCTCCTCAAGCAGCTCCCTGACCCCTCTATATCCAAAACACTGACATTAGGCAGGCATCATCCTGGGACAAAGAGAGCAGAAAAAGAAACTGGTAGCATCCCTCGCTGTGCCACAGCTACTGGAGGTGCACCCCAGACAAGCAGGGTCTGGAGCGGACCTCAGCAGTCGTACAGCGAAGGGGCTAGACTGGTAGAAGGAAAACCAAGCAACAGAAATACTTCATCATCAACATTCTGGGTGTCCACTCAGAGACCCAAACGAAAAGTCAGCAACTACGCAGACGACCAGCGGACAAATCCACAAAGATGGGAAGAAACCAGCGCAAAAAGGAGGAAAACACCAAAAACCAGAACACCTCGCCTCCTAGAAAGGACCAAAACTCCTCACCAGCAAGGGAGCAAAGCTGGACGGAGAATGACTGTGACGAAATGACGGAATTAGACTTCAGAAGATGGATAACGAGAAACTTTTGTGAGCTAAAAGATCATGTATTAAATCAATGCAAAGAAACTAAGAACCTTGAAAAAAGATTTGAAAAAAGATTCGAGGAAATGATAACAAGAATGGATACCTTAGAGAGGAATATGAATGAATTAAAGGAGCTGAAAAACACAATACGAGAACTTCGCGAAGCAAACACAAGTTTCAATAGCCGAATTGACCAAGCAGAAGAAAGAATATCTGAAGTCACCAAGCAGAAGAAAGAATATCTGAAGTCGAAGACCAACTCAATGAAATAAAACGAGAAACCAAGATCAGAGAAAAAAGCGCAAAAAGGAATGAACAAAGTCTCCAAGAAATGTGGGACTATGTGAAAAGACCTAACCTACGTTTGATAGGTGTACCAGAAGGGGACGAAGAGAATGAATCCAAGCTGGAAAATACTCTTCAGGACATCATCCAGGAAAATTTCCCACACCTAGCAAGACAAGCCAACACTCAATTGCAGGAAATACAGAGAACACCACAAAGATATTCCGCAAGAAGAGCAACCCCAAGGCACATAATCGTCAGATTCAACAGGGTTGAAATAAAGGAGAGAATACTAAGGGCAGCCAGAGAGAAAGGTCGGGTCACCCACAAAGGGAAACCCATCAGACTCACAGCAGATCTCTCGGCAGAAACACTACAAGCCAGAAGAGAGTGGGGGCCAATATTCAACATCCTTAAAGAAAAGAACTTTCAACCCAGAATTTCATATCCAGCCAAACTGAGCTTCAGAAGTGAAGGAAGAATAAAATCCTTTGTGAACAAGCAAGTACTCAGAGATTTTGTCACCACCAGGCCTGCTTTACAAGAGCTCCTAAAAGAGGCACTACACATAGAAAGGATCAATCAGTACCAGCCATTCCAAAATCACACTGAATGCTAAAGAGCTTCAACATAATGAAGAATCTACAACAACTAACAGGCAAAACAGCCACTTAGCATCAAAATGGCAGTATCAAATTCACACATAACAATATTAACCCTAAATGTAAATGGACTAAATGCACCAATCAAAAGACACAGACTGGCAAATTGGATAAAAAGCCAAAACCCATCAGTGTGCTGTATCCAGGAAACCCATCTCACATGCAAGGATACACAAAGGCTCAAAATAAAGGGATGGAGGAAGATTTACCAAGCTAATGGAAAGCAAAAAAAAGCAGGAGTTGCAATTCTCATCTCTGATAAAATAGACTTTAAAGCAACAAAGATCAAAAGAGACAAAGAAGGCCATTACATAATGGTAAAAGGATCAATACAACAAGAAGAGCTAACGATCCTAAACATATATGGACCCAACACAGGAGCACCCAGATACATAAGGCAAGTTCTTAATGACTTACGAAAGGACTTAGACTCCCACACAATAATAGTGGGAGACTTTAACACTCCACTGTCAATACTGGACAGATCAACCAGACAGAAAATCAACAAGGATATCCAGGGCTTGAACTCAGACCTGGAGCAAGCAAACCTGGTGGACATTTACAGAACTCTCCACCCCAAATCCATAGAATACACATTCTTCTCAGCACCACATCACACCTACTCTAAAATTGACCACATAATTGGAAGTAAAGCACTGCTCAACAAATGCAAAACAACTGAAATCATAACAAACAGCCTCTCAGACCATAGTGCAATCAAGTTAGAACTCAGAATTCAGAAACCGACCCAGAACCGCACAGCTTCATGGAAACTGAACAACTGGCTCTTGAATGTTGACTGGGTAAACAACGAAATGAAGGCAGAAATAAAGAAGTTCTTCAAAACCAATGAGAACAAAGACACAACGTGCCAGAACCTCTGGGACACATATAAAGCAGTCTCTAGAGGAAAGTATATAGCAATAAGTGCCCATATGAGGAGAATGGAGAGATCCAAAATTGACACCCTATCGTCAAAATTGAAAGAGCTAGAGGAGCAAGATCAAAAAAACTCAAAACCCAGGAGAAGACAAGAAATTACTAAGATCAGAGCTGAGCTGAAGGAGATTGAGACACGAAAAACCCTTCAAAAAATCAATAAATCCAAGAGATGGTTTTTTGAAAAGATCAACAAAATAGACAGACCACTAGCCAGATTGATTAAAAAAAAGAGAGAGAACAACCAAATAGATGCAATAAAAAATGATAAAGGGGAAATCACCACAGATTCCACAGAAATTCAAACCATCGTCAGAGAATATTACAAACAACTATATGCACATAAACTAGTAAACCTGGAAGAAATGGATAAATTCCTGGACTCCTGTGTCCTCCCAAGCCTAAACCAGGAGGAAGCTGAAACTATGAATAGACCAATAACAAGGTCTGAAGTTGAGGCAGCAATTAAGAGCCTACCTCACAAAAAAAGCCCAGGTCCAGACGGGTTCACAGCCGAATTCTACCAGACACACAAGGAGGAGCTGGTACCATTCCTTCTAAAACTATTTCAAACAATCCAAAAAGAGGGAATCCTTCCCAAATCATTTTATGAGACCAACATCATCCTGATACCAAAACCCGGCAGAGACCCAACGAGAAAAGAAAACTTCAGGCCAATATCCATGATGAACATAGATGCAAAAATCTTCAATAAAATATTGGCAAGCCAATTGCAACAGCAAATCAAAAAACTTATTCATCATGATCAAGTAGGATTCATCCCGGGGATGCAAGGCTGGTTCAACATACGCAAGTCTATAAACGTAATTCACCACATAAACAGAACCAAAAACAAAAACCACATGATTATCTCAATTGACGCAGAGAAGGCATTTGACAAAATTCAACAGCCCTTTATGCTAAAAACCCTCAATAAACTCGGTATCGATGGAACGTATCTCAAAGTAATAAAAGCTATTTATGACAAACCAACAGCCAATATCATACTTAATGGGCAAAAACTGGAAGCATTCCCTTTAAAATCTGGCACTAGACAAGGATGCCCTCTCTCACCACTCCTATTCAATATAGTACTGGAAGTTCTAGCCAGAGCAATCAGGCAAGAAAAAGAAATAAAGGGTATTCAAATAGGAAAGGTGGAAGCCAAATTGTCTCTATTTGCAGACGACATGATAGTATACCTAGAAGACCCCATTGCCTCAGCCCAAAAACTCCTGAAACTGATAAACAACTTCAGCAAAGTCTCAGGATATAAAATCAATGTGCAAAAATCACAAGCATTCGTCTACACCAATAACAGACTTAAAGAAAGCCAAATCAAGAGCGAACTGCCATTCGCAATTGCTACAAAAGAATAAAATACCTTGGAATACAACTCACAAGGAACGTAAGGGACCTCTTCAAGGAGAACTACAAACCACTGCTCAACGAAATCAGAGAGGACACAAACAGATGGAGAAACATTCCATGTTCATGGTTAGGAAGAATTAATATCGTGAAAATGGCTATACTGCCCAAAGTAATCTACAGAATCAACGCTATCCCCATCAAGCTACCATTGACTTTCTTCACAGAACTGGAAAAAACCACCATGAACTTCATATGGAACC